GGCCTACTCACACACCAAATTTCAAGGGTGGTCAAAAAATTTCATTTCCCACTTTGCTTGAGTCTTACAGAGACCTATTCTTAAACCCCTTTTTTAAAAAAAAATCATGCCCAGAAAGACTTTGGTTTGCATTTGTATTTTGAAGCCACAGCTCTGATGGAACAAAGAACATCCTGTTAGAAATCAGTGGGAAACCCTGTATAGTAAAAGTTATGGAGTCATGTCAAACAAACTTGGAACTGTTCATGGCTCTTTCTGGCTCATGGATTTTTATTTTCCACTGATTGAACAATTGATTTCTACAAAAATATATTAATGACATTGATAGATAAATAATTTGAGTAAGAAGAAAATAATATTAAATGATCGTTAAGTAGTGTTTAAAACACGATCTACGAGTTTTTTGAACTGCTTAAAACACTCATGAACAATTTATAAGATTTTGGTTCAACTGGAGTCACCATACACGTCACGAACATGGATTTTGAGATTTGAGATTTGAAGCTCCCACACGTTGGATATTGCGTGCCAAGGCAAAGACAGGCACGTTAGTCAAAGATCATTAGGGTGAACTATGACCTTGATGAAGCTCTATGTCTTCATCTAAACTTGGATGCATACTTCATCCCTGATGAATTCATCCTCATAGTATTCGAGTGGTCTTTATATAAAGATCACATGTGTCTTTATATAAAGACACGTGTCTTTATATAAAATCACTTGAATACTAATGAAGAGGACTTTATCGGGATAAAGGTTCATTCACGTGACGTGTATGGTGGCTCCAATTGGACCATAAGCTTATGAATTATTAATGATCGTTAATGCTTTTTAAAGTATGGTTTTTCAAATACGTTAATGTTTTCGAGTTGGTCGTAATAAAAAAGGCAAATAAACTGAACTGCACAATCGTTACACATGGTTCAAAAATGGTATTTGAGAAGTACGTTAAAATGGACTTCTTCGATCATACGGCGACCATCTTACCGTGTGTTTGTCTTTCTTTTATGGGTAAAGGTGATCAATGTGTCGTTTAACTCCTCTTTTGTTGTATTCTCTTGTGGCGAGCGGTTAGTATCAATCGACGTTATTACTGTAGCAAAGCTTTATTTCAGTGCCCCCTGAATGCCCCATAGTACCTTGCCATCCAAGATGGCCGCCGTATTGTCGATCAGAAGTTATCAACACAAAATATATCTTCCAACATTTATAGAAACAAGCATATGTATACAATCTGCATGGATTTGTAAAAATCCTTTTGCCTATTTTTAAAAACATTTGATTGATTGATTGATTGATTGATTGACCGACAAGATTTATGCTTTTTCATTATATTTCTCATTTGTTTTATTGCTTTATTAATTGATTGATGGATTGATCGATCGATCGGTCGGTCGGTCGGTCGGTTGGTCGAACAAAATGTTTTTTCACATTAATCATATTCATCATTTTTACCTCAGGTTTGATTGGCTAGACCTAAATGGAGTATAGATTTTAAAATCACTGATGAGGTTTACTGCATATGACCCTCGCTTGCAGGTTACAAAAATCACGTTATGATAAAAACTGATCAAAATTAGCAAACTGTCTTCTTTTGGTTATAATTCCAATGCTTTGTTTCACCAGCTTTTTTCCTGTGTAGTTTACATCCATGAGTTTTCCAGTTTTTTGGCAATCAAACATAATGCAAAGATGTTTTATATCAGCTTATAACTTTAGACAACTTCAAAGGAAAAATAACTTGTCTACAAGAGACAGGTCTGGTTCCCTGTGCAACGTCTGACCAACTAGGAATGCCAGCTTGTGAGCATACTGACATGGAGCAGGTACTTTAATGGTTCCCTGTGAAAATAAATTCAATGGAAGAACATTAAGAACTAATGAGACACTGAAATCGGTAAAGAATGCTTTGCCAGATGGTGCACATTTTTTCATGTTTTCACTTTTCAGTCCATCAAATTCACAACTAATGACATGATTAGTAATTTTTTTCGATCAAACTATTATCACATCTCTGCAATTCCCTTGTGAGGTACGTTGTAGGACCCATTGTTACAAGTAACATAAAATATTATTGTGATACCAGTTACAGAAAAAAGATGCTGTTTAACAGAGCTTAATGACTCAGCTATTGCAAACTGATAGAAATGATCTTACCGGCCAATTGTAATACAGATGAGTAAGTTTGTAGGASAGTCTCTGGAAATGATCAGGTTTAAGAGCTGTTGAGTCATAGATGACATTAAAGTGGACTGGTGTTACTGTTCCCTGACGAACACACTGGCTAACGAGGAAGAAATCAAACCTAGGAAAAGATAACCAAAAGAAAAAATAAACACATATGCTTGATAAGCAACAAAGAAATAAAGAAAAGAATAAAGACATATTAAACAGTTTTTTTTTAGTTTGATACTGAACAAAAAAATTGGGATGCTGAGAAAACCCATGAGAAGCTCGAAATCACTCCACATTAAAAAAAATTAAAAGTTTTTTCCTCTAACAATTATCAAAATCAGAGCACGCATGAAAAATAAAAATAATAAATAAAAAACGTTCATCTTTGATATAGCTCTCATCAATCAAACATGTTTCGTTTTTTGACCAATCAGAGCAAGTGGTTTTTTTAGGCAAGTGTGTTTTAGAAGGTTTTTTAGCAAGAAAATTAACTGCTCAGGTTTTCCTTTACCCCTCCCCTGAACATGGTGCAGATAAGCTATTACTCCCTTCTCATGGATACCAAAACTTACCACTCTGTTTTTGTAACTGCTGTGTCCACAACAGTTCCAGGAGGTGGGTTGTTCAAGTTTGTCATGTTGGTGTCCCGGGGGTCTTTCAGGAACAAACGAGTGTTGATGCGCTTCTTAACAACCACTACTGCAAACTTGGGTCTATCCATGAAAAGAACAAATGTATGTTAGGAGCTGGCTTATATGGAATGGTACTGGCTATTATACTGCTTACTTGTACTCAGCCCCAGCTTGAAAAGTGTTGAAGCTCTGAATCAACTGGCTGACTTCATGCTCAATAACAAGTTGCAGTTGTCCATCACCCACACCATCTCTGAACATAATGATATATTTAGGAAGCATGCCATTGATCTCTTGATACTTGCGCAGGGCAGCTGACAAACACAAAAAGAGAAATCAATCAATGGTTATATGCTGTGAAATGTTTTGGAAATGGATGAGGAAAATGATCACAAAGATTTCAGTATGTATATGCTGTACCTGTCATGCAGACTTTCAAACCATCGATCAGTTCTTGCCCACTGTGCTGGAAAGTACATCTCGAATAATATCTGAATTGTCAAGAAAAGAATTTCTTTCAAGAAGGATAAACAATACTAATGTACTGCACTTCCTAGGGACCAGGGAAATTGTTCCAAACAACAGGGAATGTGGGTTTGAAATATTCAGGGTGTAACAAATGCACAGACCATAGCCTCAAGTTTGAGATAGCAGGTCTCCACTGTAACAACAGCAAACATACATATTCTATTTAGCTATGCAAAGTTATGCATGGTTTTACAGTGACCATGTTATAAGACAGGAACAATGCAATATTTTTGCAATACACACCTTGTCAAAGTTTGGTTGAGACTGGCAACAAATCCTCCAACAGATCTTCCCTTTTCAGCAGAGTCATGGTACGTATCCACACCAATCACCATCAGTCCCTTGAGCTGAGGAATATATCAAACAATATTTAAAAAACGTCTCAGCAAAGCAAATAGACCTTTGCAAAATTTGCTTGGGCCAGTGACCACAATGGCTACAAGTTATGGATGGACTTGATAAAATATAAACGCAAAAAGACATCAAATCTAACCTTTACTTGAAGACTATGTTTTGTGGTCAAACCAGCAAAGGTGGTAATTAAAAAGTCTTTCTCCTGTTTTCTTTTTTTATAGTACACTCAACAAAATTACTCGACTCTAATTGGTCGAGAGGAGTACAATTATAGCGTTAATTGTACTCCGTAGGAGTACCGAATTAAGTCGCTATGGCAACACGGCCAAAACAATGTCAAAACAATTATTTTCTATCATTTTGTACTTAAAAAACATATAAATAAAATTTTAAAGCCGTAAGAACTAATCCGGCTTTTTTATGCATTTCAGTTGCGCAATGGACTGAAAATCGGCAGCCAAATAGACAAAGATGAACGGCGTCGCTTCGCAATTTTTACTGAAATTTTGTTGAGTGAACTATAAAAAAAATCGCACGATCTTCTCGTACAATTTGGAATTAATAGACACGAGTAATGTTTTGAAAGTTCTTGTAATTGTACGAGCCTTTCAAATTGTACTCGAGATCGTGCTATTTCCTATACTAATCATATCTCCTTTTTGTAATCACTACCAAATTCTGCAATCTGATTGGTTCAAAGAAGTGCGATTAATTCCCAAATCGCATCCTTAGAAGCTCTTAATCGCATCCTTTTGAGCTCTTAATCGCATCTTTTTGAAAGAACCAATCACAGAACAGAATTCTTATATTCAGCCAATCAGAGAAGAGAATGATTAGCATTATTTATGAATATTTAATGATTTGCTGATAAATCGTTTATTTTATACCAGGAAAAACCTGATTGATTTACTTCTTCTTCTACATTAAAGACCCATTGCCACTTACAATTACAATTTGTTTACATTTTGAATCGTGTCACCACTGAAAAAACAATTCTAACCTTTTGAATAAACTCTTAAAAGAATGTAAAAGAATCATTATTGTGCCTTAGCGCTATGTCGGAAAAGGATTTAATATGAAATTATTATTCAATGTATGAATCTTTGAATTTCATGGACCACGAAATTCATATGTGACCGCGGTGCATCACGGTAAGTGGCAATGGGTCTTTAAATTGATTATTCTGCACTCTTTATTGTGTCTTTTTCTTGCATATGATTACAAAAAGAATATGATTAAGTGGTAATTGAACTTCATGTCGTGCAATTTTGGACCAAAATCATACTTGTGATTTCCAAATTGCACTCCACTTAGTTCAATTACCATCATTAATAACAGAAATTTCTGAACCCTTACTGGAATTTCTGATGCCCAGGCCTCTCCACCAAGCTTACAATTAAGTTGAATGGCAATCTTGGTACAAACACTCATCAACATTTGTTTCTTTGATAAGGTCCTGCTCACTATCACCTGTGATGGAACTAAAAAATAACCACAAATTAAAATAAAGGGGATTATATACACTGAGGCTAAAAGAAAATCCTTTAAGGTGGTTGCCTACTTTTGAACGTTCGAATTGAGCCCACGATGAGCGCGCGCTCAAAAACCGCTGAAAAATCTATAAGATTTTATTGAAGAACCATACGCGTTTTGAGCTTCAACAGGGCAAAACCCTTAAATTTTGCACGGGACTCTATATTTTTTGATAGCTCATTTGAAAAAACTACTAAAAATCTAGGTTATATGAACATTTTAGGAAAAGTTTAAATCAGGAACACGTGAAAAAATAGATTTTTG